GGAAGCCTTTATCCCGACACGGAAGTTGGCTTGGGCTACTGTAAACCCAAGAGGGTTCAGTGGGGCGACATCCTCTCCCGACTAACAGGAACAATGGAGTCATTGGTTGGTGTACTTTGTAAACGCCAACGTTGTGATCGAATCTACCACACTTCTTAAGTGGGAGATCTCATTGCCATGGGCAAGTTGGCTTACCAGCAATTAGAAAAGTAACCGAGTCCTATACTTTCTCCACACAGAGCTTTCGGTGCTTTGGATGGAGTCGGGGAAGCGTTCCATGACAATAATTAGTAAAAGCAGCACCCTGAATAATGCTAAGGCGCACACTAAACTCATATTTGCGTCATTTCATCCACACCTGCCCTTTATACCTAATGACCCTGGCGTTTGCTACTGCCCCACAGGCATGCGATAAGCTTTCTTGGGTGCAGGTTGATTTAAGTAAAGGAGAAATACGAACTTAACTCAAACCGAGTGTGGCAGTAGTGAATGGACGCAAACAAAAAACCAATTTTCCAACTCCTACTTAAAAGCTTTATGTGTGCCAATTGAACAATGCAAATGAATAATTAATTGTGTCCCACAACTTTGCTTTGGACATAGCTGTAACGCGTAAAACCGAAATCAATGCCACACAATCAATCATTTCGGTGAAAATAAATGATTCAGACGAACAAAAATGTGGATTTCTAAAGATGCTAATAAAACATAAATGGTTTAACCTTCCATTACTGAACCTCCTTGGAATATTTATTTTCTCAATGGCAACAAGAAAGGCTATTCCCCAATGCACGACGGTGGCGTTCTAAATAATTGACTGCTTTTATTCCCATATGAAATCTTGTACGACAGTAGACGTATTTGATGTCAGCAGAAAGCGCTGCATGAATAGATGAAGTGTATGTATTGTTTCATGCAAAGAAAGTACACAAAGTTAGCGTGACCCCATGAATGACACTGGCGTGCTATGCTATCTCCTACACTCCGCCTCACTTGCGTCCAAGTCGAAGGAATTGTGCACGTTTGCTAAGACCATATGGGGCGGAGGCAAGGTAACGCTGAATCAACTCCTTCAGTTCTCGCATCTGTTCGAGGTAGTCTTGCAACATAGCCTCGAATTCTACTGCCGATGCAGCCTCTAACGCCGCCTCGGAGACGCCACTTCTGGATCCCTGACTTCCTAATGAAGATGTCTGACTCCCTGGTATGGTGGCAAGACAAATCATCAAAACTCCGAAGAGAGTTAGAGCTGTCCACCTATTCATAGTCGAAAAACATTTTCTAATGACGATCACAACAAGTTTTATCAGCTAAATATGGTAGTTAAAAATAACTTTTACTAAAAACAATGAAGTATGTGTATTACTATGCAATTCTCATCCTCTGTAAATATTAAAGTCCAAATAA